AGGCTATCTTGGGGTCTAATGTCATCTCGCGGATGCACAAAATTGGCAACTGATTGATAATTATCTTCACTTGGGGTAATGTTTATAATAGAATGTTCATGGTCATTTGCACCGGCCCCGTGTGGCTCTGTATTGTCACCCGCACCGGCCCCGTTATAATAAAGGAAAGTTGAGTGTCAACATCAAATTCATCGTGAAAAACGATATCAAAACCCCCATTACACACACACACGAGGGCTTGGCTCACCGGTCACCATGCGTCTGCTTTCACATCCTATAATAGTCAATCACCTAGCAACACGCGCTTCCACTCAGACACACTCGAACATCCAGACTCTCATTTACCGATTTTGAACATAACAGTTGTCCAGGGGCATCATAAACACTTATTTATAGATGGGCAGTCCTAGAAATTTTTTATTAATATATTATGTCAACATAATGACATCCCCCCACCCCCCATTGTAGACATTTGACCCCCTATATCTCGAAAACGCCCCCTCAAACGCCTGATCACCACCCAGATTCCTAATCTACGCAAAAAACTGGTCTAGAAAAACTTGGTCTCATAAATTCACAGCTCAGGTGGCAACCCCCCCCCCCCCTTCAGCCACCGGACTATAAAACACTAATATTAATAATTTCCGCCGAGGTCGCTTGTGTACTCTGTCCGCCCGTTATTTAATCCATGGTCCTCGAGTTAGAAGGTTAAGCGCTCTGTAATCTAACTACCAGTTATTCTGATCGTGCCACGGAACAACATTCATATATATACTCTTAAAATCCTTGGCCAACATTGGCATTAGAATGGCACCATTGTGCCTAAGGTAGAGGGATTTATGCATAGAAATCCAATAAACGAGCTTTTTTTACGGCTTATTTTAACTAATTCAATATAAGACTTACCATTAAAATCATCATTTATGAACAATTAAACTATTGCTAAGTTGCACGTTTGTGTAATGTAGCCATCTGTATGTTTTTTGTTTAACTTTTAGAAAAGATGATCGCTCATGTGGCGTTACAGCGATAGATTTTTTTTCTCACAAAGAGTTAAGTTTCTAGGTCACATTTAAAGTAGCTAAGTCCGTAACTCAATATCATCCAAAATCTTCGACATTGAAAACATTTTTGCAATTTAAATCATCATTGGTGTTGTGATCTTACCTGGAAAAGATGGGCTTCTGATATACAATATTTAAGAGAAAATAAACATTTTACCATTATTTGTAACAAGGTGCTCAAAGAATGAGGTTAGACATATTCCACAAGTCATGTCAAACGGTGATATCATATTCTTATTTGGAGACCATGCGCAATAAATAATATCGGTGTTGACTGGAATAACCAGACGCTAGAAACTGACTTGCGGTTGAGACTTCTGGCGTATTTCGCCGAACATAACTGATGACAATTCACAGTAAAACGGACACGATTGAATGTAAAACAGTTTATATAAATTCATATTACATTATTATGTGTGTTGCGACGCATTTGTGCCAATTTCTAGGTCCAAAATATTAGCGATTTAGCTCCTTTAAGTTTCAACTTAGCTCTGAAAAACGAATTCTTAATTTCCTCAGTCGGGATTCTTCTGGTTTTTTTTTACGTACGTACAAATAACGATTGAATTTAAAATTTTGTGTAATATAACCATTTGAATGTGTTTTGTTTTAACTTGTAGAAAAGGTGATCGCCCATGTGGCGTTACAGCTGTAGATATTTTTATCACAAAGAGTTAAGTTTCTTGGTCACATTAAAGTTTTAACTTTAGTTCTAAAAAACGAATTCTTAACTTATTCTTGGTCACATTAAAGTTTCAACTTTAGCTCTGAAAAACGAATTCTTAACAACACCAAATATCAGTTACATTTTCGGCTGATTTTTATAAATGAACTAGACCATAGTTAAAACATTCTAATAATGGAGAAACTCGCGGTTGACCACATAAACGTAATATGCAGAAAGTACTTACCGTACTGATATTGTAGACGTTAAATATCCATTGTAATATTCCTATTATGTTTCCAATATGTTTTACAGACAAATATAAAAAAATACACATCCAGAACAGAGCACACGTTATACGCCCTAAAAAGATTAGAATTCGAGTGTTGTGCCGTCCGGTCCGGACGTATATAAAGCAAGCAATAATGTAACTCCTAAAATCGCTAAGGCGGCAACTAACCACGGGGTTTTACGGTTAAGTACGAGAGTATCGCTAACCCTGCAATATACGTCCACATTCCCGCTTTGATTGGTATGGTACTTTTTAAAATGAAGAAAATGAACTATGAAATGGCTGTAATATGACAAGAGGCAAAGAAGGTTAGGCGTTGGAATTATTTTGCCAAATTTACAGACAAAATATTAACAAAAAAAGTGGGCGTGGCAACGCTCAAGGCGGTCGAGGCATGCCCCAAAACAAATAGTTGTTGTCTACGGTATAAGGAATAAATATGCAAAGTTCCAAGATGATCCATTCCGAATTGCAGTCTGTAGACATTGGGCCAATGTTTGCTGACTGCCGAGCACGTGCCACTTCGTGACTGAATAGTTTTCATTCGAGATTTTTGTTCAGTTGTGGATCATGCTGACAAGAGAAGGTTAGATTGTTATTAGCAACATTCTAGTGGAAATAAAAGAAAAGAAGGCGTGTCAGACGTAATGGCCGCCTTAAACGAGTGTGTTACTATTCTGCGTAAACCTTTGCGCAACGTTGGTCCAAGAGATATGTGCTAGAACGTCTCGAACTCGTTTTTAATGTAAAGTTGCAATTTCTTTTAACAAACAATTATAACACATTTATTGGGACTTTTGATACGCAAAGTAAATTGATTAATTTTAGAATTTCAAAATTGCTAACTTTTTATCCATCTATAATTGCTTTGTTATTCTTCCATTCTGTCATATTTGTTTTCTATACGGGGGAAGGGATGCCTGCTGTGTTGGAATGTGCTTGGAAACATAAAGAAATATTGCAGTTATTGTAAATTTCTAGTCCCGAAATGACCTAGTTTGTGTCCAGTGGACGTTACCCCCCCCCTCTTTCTCTTTCTCTCCCGTGAATTTCAATGGCGACGGTGTTTTGAATCTGGTGATAGACACGCCTCAACAATTACAATTGACGACCATTCGATTATTAATTTCCCACACCTGTTGGACCTCTTACCTCTCGGACCTACCTGCTGGAAAAAGAGAAATGCAATGAAATGGGGTTTAACGTCCTGGTGTTCTGCTCCTGCTGCGTTAATGAAAACGGTCATATGCCATGCAGTGTGCTATGAGGGAAATTATGCCCGGACAGCGGCGCTGCTGGCCTACTCTTATTTGGAATTCTGTCAAGCGTTATTTTACGTGAACTCCAACTGTCCCCTGCCAGGCACTGACAAATGGGAACCACGCCGGAAAATCTTGATGAACTTTCTCGGCCAACACAGGGATAGAAAGGAAAAGTCCATCGCCAGTCCGCCACACCAGAGCGCGATCTGGCCAAGTTCCATCACAACAAACCCCATCGCTAACACCTTGCTACCGATTGTTAATGACAGTTCCCATATCACCGCCAGCCCTTTGGCAGGCAAACTCGCCATATGCTTACCCACTAACTCCACAGGCGGGCTATCTGATAGGTGTCAAAATGGCGACAGTTTTTGTAGTGGTGGGTATGGACACCAGCAGCAGCATCAATGTCTGTGACAGCTGTGGGGTTGAAACCACTCCACTTAACACAAGGGCTGACCTTATGATCTAAAGAACAAGCTCTAACATAGGTCCCAAAGGTACCAGCAGCTTAATTGCGACGGATGGGTGTAATGATTGGTAGCACGCACCTCAGGTTATAGAGCAACATGAAAGATCAATCCCGTATTGCAAGAATGTAGTCCGGGTTAGTGAAAGCTAATGGCTGGGGTCGTATCGATATATTTGGGCTGCAGCAAATCGCCCACTGGAAGAACGCTATATAAATGTGCACAAGTATTGTGACAGAGCTGGTGGACCGTTACCTCGATGTATTCGAATTGCTTGTGGATTACTAGACGTTTCTTATTTGGCATAAATACAGAAGAATGCAAACCAAAGACGACGATATACCAATTACCTGTCGTCCACCATAGAAGCTCAGGACTTCGACGTTGCGATTCATTAGGAGATTAATAACGTTATTTCAGGAACTGTTGGAACGGCTTAAATTGGACATCGTCAATTGTTCGAAACCAGTCATATGGCAGTGCGTCTAACATGAATGGCAAAGACACGAAAGCCTTCACCAACGAAATAATCCGTGTATTGGATATTCTCTAGTCTTGATTGGACATTAAGCTGGCGGATACCTGCATGCCTGTAGTGTGCTTTTTAAAAAAATGTTGAGCACGTGTATAATTTCGTCACTGCAGCTACGTCATTGTTCTGAATATTGGTTAAAGTGCATCGGTCTACGCATTCCGACATGACATTAGTCGGAATGGATACAAGGCCTGGAGGATATAGATATATAATGATTCTAACCAGAAAAAGCGGCACAACTAGCTTAGAAAGTACGCAGTCAATGCGAGATTGCTTCGATACATTTCGACCCTACTCTTTGTTTTCTCAACACCACATATAGAAGGTTAACCCGAAATTGTGTCCGTTACAGTTTTAAATCTTTGATTTTAAATGAGTAAGACTTGGCTTATACTTTCATTTCATCATCAAATTGACTGTTCGATAATAATCATTTTCTGTTCAAGGTAAACCGATGTGATAAACAATTTCAATTGGTCGAGACTTCGGAGCACACCAATTTAGAAATATGTGGACAACGGGTATCAACTTGTCTCACTCCAGGAACGAACGAACGGGTATGAAGATACGCCTCGTCACAAACTAGTTAAACGGACTGTTATACGTGTGATAGTCCTGACAGTGTTCAAAATAAGCCTTATCTAATATTTTGGAAATATATTGGGTTTAAATTTTTTTAAAATATCTTACAATCTCTGTTAAAAATTAAATAGTCTGATTTCGATAGAGCCTTTATTTAAAAAAAGGAAGAAAAGAAGACAGTGATATACAAGGGTAAATATCAAGCGTGGAAATATAACTTCATTAAAATAAAAGATAAAAAAAAAGAATACAAATCTCAAAAGGGTTTAACTCTTATATGATATAAACGTCTTGGAAAACAAACCGCAACAAATTAATTGACCAGCGGCTGCCAGGCAGGAGACGCCCACATTTTGCAAGAGATGGATAGAGAACAAGCTAAAAACAAAAACGAGTTTTTGTACAATCAGGGGTCATAATCCAGAAAGTTATGGCCTGGAATGCGCAAATATCAAAAGGGACTGGGATGTTTGGAATATAAAGATATTTTTTAAGTTCCATCAAAATTGGATACAAATATGCATTTCAAGTTTCATCAAAATCGGCACAACCTTGATATACCAGATATTTACACTATTTGCGTACGAGAGGCGGCCATTTTGTCAGTCAGTTTTGGTCCGATTTTTACGAAATTCGAACTCAACCTTCATAACCGTGTTTTTTGAAATCGGATAATAATTGTGACCTTCAGAGGGACCACAAGCTAAAAAGGAAGTTACGATTCGATACGCGCAAATATCGACAGGAACCAAGATCTTTGGGTTATAAACACGCATTTCAAGTTTCAACAAAATCGGATTAAAATTGTGACCTCTACAGCGTCCACAACCTTGATAATGATATACCATATTTTTACACTATTCGCGCACAAGCGGCGGCCATTCTGTCCGTCAGTTTTGGTCCGATTTTCACGAAATTCGAACTCAATCTTTATTAAAGTGTAACGGTCATATACTAAAAGGTTTTTTTTTAAATTGGATAAAAATTGTGACCTCTGGAGGAACCACAAGCCAAAAACGCGATTTTTCGTACAATCAGGGGCCATAATTCAGGAAGTTACGATTCGATATGCGCGAATAGCGAAAGGAACCAAGTTTCATCAAAATCGGATCAAAATTGTGACCTCTAGAGTGTCCACAAGCTAAAAACACGATTTTTCGTACAATCAGGGGCCATAATCCATGAAGTTATGGTCCGATACATGCCAATATCGAAAGGAATCGAGATCGTAGGGAGATAAAGCTATATTTCAAGTTTTGTTGAAATCGGATAAAAATTTTGACCTGTAGAGTGTCCACAAACAAATTGTGGACGGACGGACAAACAGTGACGACGACAATATACGTGCGGCGTATAAAAAGGAAACAAAAAAGACGTTAGCCCAAATTTCATTTCACACAAGATGATAAACTCGCCTTCAAAGTAAAATAAGAACCTTAAAAATAGATAAAGTTAATTATCCAACACTGATATTTTAAACAATCTTAGTAAAAGTGTAATAAGAATTTTAAAAATTAATACAAAATTATCTACCACTGAGATGTTAAACAGTCTTAGTAAAAGTAAATAAGAATTTTAAAACTAAATACAAATTTATCAAACACTGAGATATTAAACCGTCTTAGTAAAAAGTTAAATAAGAATTTATCCAAAATGAAATAGATTTCTTAAAAAGGACACATCACTGAGATGTTAAGAATGTTAAAACTAGATACAAAATTATCGAACACTGATATTACACAGTCTAAGCAAAAGTAAAATAAGAATTTTAAAACTAAATACATAGTTATCCAACAATGAGATATTACACAGTCTTACCAAAAGTAAAATAAGAATTTTAAAACTAAATACATAGTTATCCAACAATGAGATATTACACAGTCTTACCAAAAGTAAAATAAGAATTTTAAAACTTAAATACATCGTTATCCAACAATGAGATATTAAACAGTCTTAGTAAAAGTAAAATAAGAATTGTAAAAACAAGATACAAAATGAAAGAAATATCTTAAAGAGGACACATCACTGAGACGTTATAACCGTCTTAGAAACATAACATATATTAAACGTTATTTTGAGAAAAAAAAGAATGGCGTCATATTTTCAAAGAAATAGAAAATTTCGTATCGTTGAATTTACTAAGCATGTGTTGTTAAAAAAACCAGATACTAGTCTGGTAATAATAGAAAGGGAGGGCACTGTATCTTTAGTAGATATCTTTGATGAACATCAGAAAAGTTGAGATGAGCATAAGTGACATACTGACTGTCATGGTACATCCATCTGTAATAAAAGAACACGGGTTAAGGTTAATATAATTAAGCTGGCTCCTTTTCAAGGATTTTAACAAAGGTACAGGCATATATATATATATATATATATATATATATATATATATATATATATTACAATTAAATGACATACCACCAAAATGCCATACGTGTTATCTCCCTTACGTGAAATTTAATTACACTAAAATGGCCAATTATTATATATTAATGATATAGCATCTGAGGCGTAAAAAATATCAACGCAGTACTAAAACGGCAGTGTCTTACCACACTTATAACCGGAAGTCCTTTCAAATCCTTCATCTGCAGCTTTGGTAATATCTGCACTACATCCACGACTTTGTAGGCATGCCTTGTATCTATTCAGTATTCTATTCAAAATAACAAAACAAAACCATTATTATTATTCTTACCTTTCGGGGTGCAAAAAACATAGACAGCCTACTAACCCATCACAACAAATGTGAAGTGAAAATATGAATTGTAGATGATAGGAGTAGACTCTTCCATGTTAGTATTTTCATTATACAAAGCACAAATATGTTTTTCTTTCGTAAAATAAATGTCTGAAGGCCTGCGCACAACAAGTGAGTTAGTTATACAAAGGTATATAATTTATCACGATTATCGCTAAGTGGGCTGGGGAGCGGGAGGTCTGTCATTGAGTCAACTGGTGTGGTTTCGATTCCCCGCCTGTCCAACCTCGTAGGTTTTCTCCGGGTCCTCCAGTTTCCTCCCACTGCTCAAGACCACGGCGCTCAAGCGAATTATTGAAATAAAATGGAATCATATGTTAGTCTCGAAATGACATAGTTTGTGTCGAGTAGACATTTATTGAAATAAAATTAAACCATACTAGTCCCGATATAACCTAGTTCGTGTCGAGTGGAAGTTAAACCTCACCCGCTAAGTGTTTGATTATGACAGCCTGCGGCCGGCCAAGGTTGTCTGCAATAAAAAATGCAGTCACTGCTGCCCGTAAATGACCAAAACTACGAATGTAAATCGTCGTGATTTCAGTTTTGTCAATTTATTTGTCTACGGTTTTGACAGTTTTTCTACTGTTTATTTATGAATCTTCACATTACTTGTACCAAGTTGACACAAAGTTCTTATTATTTTCTTCTAGTTGGGGAATAACCCCAAGATCGATAACCATTTCTCGGGGAAAAGGGTTGACGATGGTTTCTGATACAAGGCACCCTGATGAAGATATTTGTAGTTTGCTACCTAAAAACTACGGGTAACTTGAGGGGAGCCTAAAATCCAAGATGTCGGCCAAAAATGGTTTGACATAGTTCACGAAATGCCCCATGTCATTTTATAGGTTTTATTGGTCCCCGGACTCATTTTTGAGGTTTCAAATTGATCCAATATGCCGGCAGCAAAAAGTAATCTTTCAATACCAATAACAATATACACGTGTGATATGTCTTATAGGGGGCGCAGGGCACGAATATTCAATTTCCAAGCTGATGGGACTAATGGGAATGGAGATATCATACAGACATTAATCATTTTTGCGACTACAGGCCTACATAATGTAATGATAACATCCAAATTTTTTAAAAAAACATCCACGAATCTTATCCTTCATATACTACAGCTATCATAATACATTATATGACCCCGAAAACGTGTCAAGAATCTCAGTATTTTGAGTCATCTGTCGAATTGCGCGCTCAGATTGAGAAGTATTTTTATTTTGGAAGTTATCGACCGAGAAGTTTTTTAAACACGGTGGCATAGGGCATCAGGTGTGTATCATATAGACTAACACTTTCCAGCCACGCCCAAGAGGCGATGGCGGATTCTGGAGTCTGTAATGCAACATAAGGTAGGATTAATAGTTAGAGAGAGAGAGAGAGAGAGAGAGAGAGAGAGAGAGAGAGAGAGAGAGAGAGAGAGAAATGAGGTTTAACGTCCACTCGACACAAACTAGGTCATTTCGGGACTAACACATGGTTCAATTTTATTTCAATAATTCGCACGTGCGTAGGGGTCTTTAGCAGTGGGAGGAAACCGGATGACCCGGAGAAAACCCACGAGGTTGGACAGGCCACCCTACTCCTTGTCACGTACAACCGGGGAATCGAAACCCCGCCAGTTGACTCAATGACAGACCGTATGGTACAGCACAGCGCGCACGTGCTAACCATTCGGCCATCCAACCCCCCAAACGGAGCAAGAAATGGCGTACACAGGGTGGGTGGGGCGCCAGGCATCGTTGCCTTTGATGTAAAAGGTTTAGGTCATCTGATTTTACACACGTCTCAGTAGTAGGTCCTGAACTTTGGTATTGATTTGGCAGTCGGGGCATATAATGGCCCCGGCATCACCAACCTCTGCACGTCGTCAACAATGGCACCGTAAAGGAACATATTTATTTAGACATTGTTGACTTCTTGATTATCCTTAAACTTGCAGGAGCAGCTTTTAAGGAAACATTTTGACTTTAAATATTTCAAATAAATTACTCTTAAAGGCCCCTCCTGCGTAATAGGTCAGTTTCGGTGTGTTGAAATTAAGTCAATTACGTTTCCAAGGAATGTGTGACCGCGAATCCGGATTCTTGACCTTTTTCATACAATAAGTCAAATAATCTCGTAACCGTGACAGAACATATTGTATGGTTTGAATAAACCAGTGTTTTGGCATGAGCGTTGCATCCCGGTATACGCATCTGTTTTCACACCGAAAAGTACCTTCAAGCATTGGGAAACGACGCCATCCGACCGAGTTTGTATCAAACCGACTCATGACTCGTATTCACAGATATAATTTTGTACAGGTGCGGCCCTTCGTCTTTTCGCGGGTGGACAAACGCCATACACTGTGCTATGTGGGAAATTTTGTTCGGATCGCGGCGCTACGGCTTACTCTTATATCGAATTCCAAATGCCAAGGATTCTTTTTAGTGCATGCCAATATGTACCCTGGACCTCGTTTTTTTCGTCCCATACCAACTCATACTCCTCGCAGTGTTTCGTTTGATTAGAGCTAATCCCACTACTCACTGCTGTAAAGAAGGCAAATTCTTGTTCTAAATTATGACTGGTCAATAGTCCGATTAACAACCAATAGCGAACTGCGTAACAATACCAAACACAGCTCCAAATTGGACCAAGTATGTTTACATAACGTTACGTCATGACTCACGATTTTATTATGCCCAATTAACCAGTGCATAGCAGAATATTGCAGAAAAACTAATTGTGACGAACGAGGCTACCAGCACGGACATAATGTAAACAATACTGTTTTGAGTCGAACAACACTTTCACTGTTTTTAACACCTGAAATTACTGTCCATAGTTTTATGAAAGGCCCCTGATTAAAAGAAGGGCTGTCATGTTGCTGTGCTTGGGGATATAATTGATTGAACGGGATGAATAGACACGCTCCCTCAAAAGCGCAAGTATCAGAAGCTAATCCAGCAATGGCCAGCGAGAGATTTCTCGGGCCATTGCTTCAGGAATATGATACCAACTAGGCCCGAGAAAGAGTTGATTCTTATTTGAATTGGGCTATGGTATGATAATTTAGCCAGTGTGGTTATAATCGAAGCGTGTGTGGGCGTTCACTGCGATATACTTTGTCACGATTAGTTGTAATATGCCAGGATTAGCTAAGATGGACATTAACAGGGACAATTGCTATCGAATTGTTTCGGTCTATTATCAAAAGGATAAAGATAGTCAATAAAATATAAATATTTACCCGCAAGCTTCAGAAAGCGTGAGGCCGGAACTTTTGTATTGGGAATCATTCGTAGGATCGCAGCTTTTAACAGAGCTTGTACTACATTCTGCATCTATGATGGACTTGGTGTTGAGAACTGAAAAAGTCAAGCCGGTTCATGATATAAATGTAAATTATGTTTTTAACCCATCGAGCCAACTACCCTATGTGATATCTCCTGTCCACTCTCCTCATCTGGCTGTCCGTTAGTATTATTTTTTTTTGGGGGGGGGGCAGTAACTGAGTCAACGGGCGTGGTTTTGAATCGCCGGTTGTACGTGACAAGGAGTAGGGTCGCCTGTCCAACCTCGTGTGTTTTCTCAGGGTCCCCCGGTTTCCTCCAAATACGAAAGACCCCTACGCGCAAGCGAATTATTTAAATAAAAAATTAAACCACGTTAGTCCCGAAATGACCAAGGTTGTGTCGAGTGGGCTTTAAACCCCATCTCTCTCTCTCTCTCCGTGGGCATTTTAGATTGTCTGCTTCATCCTAGACAGTGGCGGCTCTGGCCACCTGTGGTAGGAGGGGCAACGGCGCGAGCTTCAACTAGGAGTATGGGGGCCTTCCCCAGAATTTTTGAAACATTGACTGCCGGAAATGCACTCTGGTAGTATTTCAGGTACTGATCGATTAGATAAATAGAACTGACCAGATACCGCCTGTCGCCCGACCACTAGTTTATCCGACCAGATTGGAAAGTGTCAAACCAACAGACCTGCGAACCTCATGAGCGTCAAGGTAGCGGATGGGGGTATGGGGGGACATCACCTAGAAATTTGTTAAAAATAGACAGCCTGAAATGCAGTCTGACAGTATTCAGGCACCGATTGTCGAGATAGAGTTGACCAAATACCGTCTGTCGCCTGCTCACTAGTGGAAAGTGTCAAACGAACGGACTTGCGAACTTCAACGAAGCCCTCGAAATGCAGTCTGGCAGTATTTCAGGCACTGGTCGTCGAGATAAATAGAGCCTACCAGATACCGCCTGACGAAAAATCACTAGTTTATCCGACCAGAAAGTGTCAAACGAACGGAGTGAGTGAATCAAGGTGAATGAATATTTTAGCGACGATATTTTGAAAAATAGATTGCCGGAAATGCAGTCTGGCAGTATTCAGACACTGGTCGTCGAGATAAATAGAACTGATCAGATACTGTCTATGTAACACTATCTTAGTATAACAGAGACCAGTTTCGTACATATATGATTTATTTACATTGGAACAGAATATAACACATCTACATAATTACAACAGCAATACATGTACTTAAACTATATAAGAACTAGTCTACATCGAGGACTAGACTACGACAGGAACACATCTAACAATATTAAATCCACCATTCTGCCCCTCTGCCAAGGCAGCGGCTGAACTCGGGTGAGTCCATACACTCGTCCACGCCTCTCTTCTCCTCCCCGCTCCTCTCTGTCTAACTATCAGCAAACGCCTGGTTATATAGCCCCAATTGCACTGCGTATTTCCTTTGAAGTCATTATCAGGTCATGGTATGATTACTGACCAGTGCATATTCCTTTGAATTAATGCAGAGAGTGTGCATAGATCATATGTAGTTTGTAAATGACATGAGATTAATTACATGTTTAATTAGAACGTGACTAAACAGAAGTATACAGAGTTGAAAAGTCGACATCGTCCATTATCAAAACCAGCTTAGGTCAATAAGTTCGCAGAATCTAAATAATAGTTCGTATTTTATAAAGTAGAAAATTAAGCACTTTGTCACATCTGTCGCCAAATCCCATAGAGGGGGGTGTCAAACAAACGGAGTGAGCGAATCAAAGTGAATAAAAGACCTTGCAGCGATGAACCTATACCTCAAAACTATGAGGATCGTAAAAGGCATTTCTCAAGTGGTTCACGGGTTATTGTTTAAAAGTAGGTTTACAACAGGATGTGTGCGGTAAGAAATCACTCGGACGTTAAAACATGCAAGTTTATGACTGAGTTGGAATGTCGGATTTAATCACCGTAGAAGGTATTGATTACCGAAACATATCACAAATCGGGCTTGGCGCCGCCACTGCCCGTAGAACCACCAACTGATTTAATCACCTTAGAAGGATTACCGAAACTTATCACAAATTTTTTTTTTTTAAATTAGTTTTTGTTTTGGGGAGTGGGGTGGGGTGTGAAAGAAGTTAGCGTAAATGGTAAGACAACTGTCTACACATGATAAGGCAAGTGAAATGAAATATTATTTCGAATTTCCTCTGTCCTTCACTAGTGACAAGGGAGGACCGATAAACTTACTCAGCCGGGATCATACACGGGACATCCAGGTTAACGTTATTACGCACTGAGCCCCCGTGCCGCCCCACCCACGTCAACGTATCAATAATAAAACCAAAACGAACATTACTAACGGGCTTATCTTATCAAGATTAAATAAATAATATGATTCTTATATCGTTCTAAACTCCAAACAAAGTCAGATCAAAGCGCACACAAAGTCAATTCTAAGTCACTTCAGAGGTTTTTTTTTAATATTTAGAAAAACAGGAATGTCTTAAATTTAGATTTAAATATTAAAAATGTTGGAGCAGATTTTAAAGCTAACGGGAGGATATTCCACTTCAAGGCCACTGAAACTTCAAATGATTTTAAACCATTTTTTTTCAGTTTCCACTTTGATGATAATGTAATGTATTGTTGAGATTGGGATCACAGAGGTCGTATTGACTGGTAAGGATTAACAAGTTCCTTTAAATATGAAGGAGAATTTCCATGAATGCACTGATACACAACTGTTAAAATTTTTAATTCTATCCTTTCCCTTGTGCGCAGCCAGTGCAGAGAATTTAGTACTGGAGATATACTAAAACGTTTTGATGATTTGGAAACTAATCGAGCTGCCGAATTTTGTATTTTCTGTAGTTTTTGTTATAATTCAGATGAAATGCCTATAAGAAGACGGTTACAGTAATCTAATTTTGATCAAATTAATTGTTGTACACGGGTTGCTGTGATTTCTGTCGTTAACACATGACGGATGTCATCATTTAGGTTTAATCTATCGCATGCCATCCACGACTTTACAATGCATGTTTGAATGTTATTCAGGCTTTGGTGATGTGACAGTACAGGCAAGCTCTCAATTAGGTGGTCGTTGGAATTCGATAGAAGAGTAGGAGTAGGTCGTCGTGCCGCTATCCGGGCAAAATTTGGAATTTAATATAAAAGTAGGCCGTTGCGCCACTGCAGAGCAAAATTCCCGTTAAAGCACATTAATGGGGCTTAGTCGGAGCATTTCTTTTTATTGACGTAGACTGTTTTTGTCAACAATTGAAATAAATCCGTGTTCCTACGGCTACTGTAATGGTATCACCTGTTGACAATGCAGCAGTATTTATATACTTGTAGCCTTCTCCGTAACTGTAACACATTGTTCTCCTTTAAACACCAAACAGAATGGGCATACACTCTTCTCTGCATCAGCATTCGTTTCTGCTGTTAACATGCGTAAATGGACCAATTTGGGAAAAAATGCGACGTCTGGTTGCCGATGTGACGTCACGGTAACGTCATGCTGTTATAGAGACCAAAGCCCTGTATAGGGAAAGTAATGACAACTCATTAACAGGTGCCATTTTGGGTCCCAACTATGACGCCATAAAAACTATGACGCCATATCGTCATAATAATATAGCTTTATTGCAAAACGTTTTATTTTTTTCTTGGTATAACGTTTTACGTGTCCTAAATATGTCAGATAAAATCATACTCAAAATCGACCAAGGCAAAATGACAGGTTTAACAGAATTCAATTTGGCGTTCTTTGGGAACTATCGGAGAGCGATATCTCGTAATCAGTGTCTTTCAGTGGTTTTTAGGATAAATAATTTATTTTTATATTCCTCGAACACAGAATGGTTATGCAAGTGAAATGTGTCGAAAAATCGCATTTGACAAACATCAATTAAAAGAATGTATTTGTCATTTGGTGGCGCGCATTTCTTTCCAAATCACAGCCAAATTTGGTAATATAATACCATTTAACAAAACAAAACACAAAAAAAGAAACAACATTAATTTGGTAATAAAAGGGCAGCGATGATCTCAAAAATTTAATTTCGAGAATTCTTGAGGGTAGAAATTCAAAATGGCCGGCATATAAACGCAATACTCTTTCCCCCCTCTGTTAAGTCTACGGAAGCGTAATAGGGCCATTAATTTATTCTTTTCTAAATTTTAAAACCTGTAAGTCAATAACTTGAAAATTCCGGGTAGTAAAAGGCCATACAAGAAAGATAATACGCCCACACAGCAGCCTTGACACAAATATAGGCTACCAGAAATGTAAGGGATATGTAACGGATAAAAGTAACTAGTAACTTCAAGTTAGTATCTTGAAAATTCAAGTTAGTATCTTGAAAAATTGAAAATAGAATAATAAAAAAAAATATGTGGCCCTATTACACTTCCGTAGATTATTCTGTCCAAAATACCAAAGAAATAACTAACTGGACGTCAAGTCTTATTTTTTTCCACTCTAAAATTAACTGTGAAATCACAGAAGAGTAAAAATGAAATGGGGTTTAGCGTCCTATTGTTCTGCTACTAAACTGGGCTAATGAAGACGGGCATACGCCATACAGTGTGCTATGAGGGAAATTTTGCCGGGCAGCGGCACTACGGCCTACTCTTATATCGAATTCCAAATTCTAGGGGATCTTTTACGTGCACGCCAATGTTTTTCGTACCATCCGAACGACTAGACAGCTGTCCTTGTCAGACCCTCCGTCCTGCATCACTGACAAGGGGAAACCACTCCGGAAAATCTGGATGTACTTTCTCGGCCTATGCAGGGATCGAACACCCGACCTAGCGAGCCAGCGTCTCACCCACTTAGCCATTTGATGTTGGTATATTATAATGTAGGTCTATATATTTGTGAAAAAATAAATGTTGACTATTTTTTACTTAATAAACAGAGAAGATACCGAATTTCAAATTGGGATATAGACCATAAAATATAGATATATAATGTAATCCTATATTTTATTACAAATAAATTTGTGCTTTTTTTTTCTCTGAAATAAACATTGAAAAACAGCATTGTAAATTGTAAAGAAGAGTATCTGATATAAGTAGTTATTAAAAAAAATATGATATAGGTCTATAATATAAGTATTTTTTTTTTTTTTTTAAAAAGAAAATAGAATATAGGCCTCTGCAATGACAGATGTTTATTAATAAAAATACCCCACAAAAAATAACTTATATATAGGCCTATATGTCTTTGAACTTTTCTAAAATTACTAGAAATCGGACGCAAATATAGGCCTATATATGTGAATAGCCTAAGAATAATAATAATAATAAAGACTCTAAAATTACTTTTCTAAAATTACTAGAAATCGGACGCAAATATAGGCCTATAGTATAGTATATGCGAATAAAGACCTAAAATTACAGCTTATACTGACCACAAGACGAAAGAAAAAAATATAACTGAACAATACATCATGAGTTTTTTTCCTCTAAAATTAACTTTTCTAAAATTACTAGAAATCGGACGCAAATATAGGCCTATAGTATAGTATATGCGAATAAAGACCTAAAATTACAGCTTATACTGACCACAAGACGAAAGAAAAAAATATAACTGAACAATACATCATGAGTTTTTTTCCTCTAAAATTAACTGTGAAATTACAGAAAAGTAAAAGAAGAAAATGGTGTAAGGCCTATATATTTCTAACGAATAAATTTGGACGGCTTTGTATTTAATTAACATTGAAATACAAAATTTTAAATTGTAAAGAAGAAAATGGGATACAGGCTTGTAAAATATAGTTATGTAATGTAATCCTATATTTTAAAAAAGACAAATTTGTGCTGTTTTCTTTGAAATTAACACTGAAAACACAGAGTTGTAAATTGAAAAAGAGAAAATGGTATAAAGGCCTATAATGTAAGTAGTTTTTTTTTTTTAAAGAATATGATATAGGCCTATAACATTAAAAAAGGAAAATAGGATAAAGGCCCGTGAAGTGAAATGCTTTTATTAAACAATATACAGTTTCCATAATTACAGTAGACTATGGAGAAAATATACGACCCCCCCGAAAAAAATAACTTCTATATCTTTAAACTTTTCTAAAATACAACTGCGCATTTGATGCAAATCTTTTTATGTATACATAGGCTCTAGAATTACAGACTATGAAGATCATATTATGTAAGATCACACAAAATAACTTCTATATAACTTGACCCTTTTTTCTCTAAAATACTGAATAGTAGACAAAGAAATTGGGATATTTATATAAAGATCCTAAAAGGTAAAAAAATAAAGTAGAATATAGGTTTAGATGTGTGTATGTATGTAGAAAAAGCTATAAAATTACATATTAGGATAAAGAAGAGCACACAAAAAAAATAGCGGAACAGTATTTAAATTTGAATATTGTAATGCGCCACTGCAAAGACAAATTGGTAGTGTAAATACTGCTCCCACTTTTATTATTTTATCATCGGCACTGCATGTCAATAGATATTATGTACGGTTTTTTTTACCTAAGGACATGATACAGTTTTGGTATTCATAAATATTTAAAATATAGTATAAAATTCTGGACGAATACAACTGGTTGATTTCCAAACAATTTTAAAATCCAAAATCAAAACTGTAGCTTAAATAACAAGGGGTGGCATCTTAAATTTTCTTTTTCGTCATTTGATTTTATTTTTTTCCACACAATAGCGACATTTTATGGTTATTTCAGAATTCAATTATATAGTTTCTCTGCCACAAAAATTAAATATAACAGATTATGGAAAAATGGCATATTTTGGAAAAATTGAAGATTTGTTAAGTTATGGGTAGACAACTTGACCCTTAAATAAGTGAGAACTACTTTGGTGAATAGTTCCATAATCTTCGACATTAATACAAGAATTATAATTGCCCCCTCTATAGGGAACTATTAAAGGGGCTAAATCTGTTATCTTTGGCACCTATAGAAATGGACACAAACTGGTCGCAACACATAACAATGTTCAATCGTTTCTGTTTTACTGTAATTTCTAATCAGTTATGTTTGGCGAAATAAGCGAAGAGTCCAAATTGAATGGCAGTCTTTTTCGTCTGGTTATTCCAGTTTACACTGGTAGTCTTCTCCTATGGGATATATTAAGCCTCGTTCACCGAGTCGATTTATTGATTTATTATAAATGGCGCTCAAAAGGATTTTGGCACGCGATCTATGTGCTTATTTTAAAATGTTTATTTTGTTTTAAATATTGGATATCAGAAGTCCATCTTTCCACGGTAATATAACAACACCAATGTTGGTTTAATTCGATCAATAAGTCGTTTTTGCAATGTCGAAGACTGTGGATGATATTGGGTTAGCGACTCACATAGTCTGCCAGAATTAGGCCTGCATCTCACGTTTGTGGCATGAATGTGCAAACTAAGCTTTCCTGGTTTTAAATGATGGATTAGATTACACCCAATATAGTATTACAGATAAAAAAAGCCCCATCAATGGGCCCAAGGGAAATTTTAGGACCTCGAAGTTTTCCGACGTTCGAATTGGAAGGGTACCAGCCAACTCACTGATTTACCTTGTATCCGACCTGAAAACAAAAGTGATTCAAGTGCACCTTTTCTTTAGTTTCGTCGAAAATTCGAAGAGAAACAACGGAAATGGCAACTTCAGACAATTCAGAGAAAAAAATGCGTCATATGTGGTGAAGGGGAGGATAGTGGGGAACCATCTCGCGTTCTTAGTACCGGTTTAAGGACGTTATTGAATAGTGCGAGTATCAGGAAAGATTCGGTTACCGAGAATCGTATCAACAACACATCTATGCCGTCTGTCCATCATGACTGTAGACGTAAGTACACATATAAGCGTATTTTGTCCCGTATGTGGGTTGATGATGTCATGCCTAACAAAATACGTCGGTCGCCGGTACCCGAATTCGACTGGAAGTGAGTTTCATTAAAATCGGATAAAAAATGATCGTGACCTCTAGAGGGTCCACAACCTTGGTATTACATACATTTACACTATTTGCGTATAGGGAGCGGCCATTTGGCAAGCAGTCTCGGTGCAATTTCCACGAAATTAGAACTGACTAAATTTTCGTACAAGCAGGGGCCATAATCCAAGAAGTTACAGCCCAATACATGCCAATATCGAACGAAATCGAGGTCTTTGTGAGAGACAAGCCTATATTTCAAGTTTCGTCAAAATCGGATTAAAATTGTGACCTGTATAGTGTCTACAAATCTAATGTGAACGGACACACGGGCGACGACAATATACGTCCACATGAAAATGTCGGCGTATAAAAAAAAAACCCAAACAAATAAATCCGCGATGATAACCAGCGGCTGCCAGGCAGGATACGCCCACCTATTCGAGAGATGGATAGAAAACAAGCTAAAACGAAAGTGATTTTTCTTACAATCAAGGGCCATAATTCAGGAAATTACAATTCGATATGCGCAAATATCGAAAGGAACCGATATTTTTGGGTTATAAACTTACATTTCAAGTTTCAACAAAATCGGATAAAAATTGTGACCTCTATAGGGTCCACGCTATTTGAGAACAAAGGGCGGCCATTTTGTCTGTCAGTTTTGGGTCGATTTTCACCAAAATCGAACTCAGTCGTCCTTAGGGTGTAACGGTGATATAATAATACGTTTTTTTAAAATCGGATAAAAATTATGACCTCTATAGGGTCCACAAGCTAAAAACGCAATTTTTCGTACAATCAGGGGCCATAATTCAGGAAGTTACGTTCCGATATGCGCGAATATCGAAAGGAACCGAGATCTTTGGGTTATAAACTTACATTTCAAGTTTCATCAAAATAGGATTGAAATTGTGGCCTCTATAGGGTCCACAACCTTGATATACCATATTTTTACGCTATTTGAGAACGAACGGCGGCCGTTTTGTCTATCAGTTTTGGGCCGATTTTCACGAAATTCGAACTCAGTCGTCTTTAGGATGTAACGGTGATGTAATAGTACGGTTTTTTTAAATCGGATAAAAATTATGACCACTATAGGGTCCACAAGCTAAAAACGCGATTTTTCGTACAATCAGGGGCCATAATTCAGGAAGTTACGTTCCGATATTCACGAATATCGAAAGGAACCGAGAACTTTGGGTTATAAGCATACATTTCAAGTTTAAACCAAATCGGATAAAAATTGTGACCTTTACAGTGTTCACAAGCTAAAAACGTGATTTTTCGTACAATCAGGGGTCATAATCCATGAAGTTACGGTCCGATACATGCCAATATCGAAATGAACCGAGATCTTGGGGTGATAAACCTATATTTCAAGTTTCATTGAAATTGGATAATTGTGGAAGGACGGACGGACGGACAGGGGCGACGACAATATACGTCCACCTGAAAATGTGGGCGTATAAAAACGTACAAATAAAGTAACTATCCACGAAATAATCTTATGACATCAATGACATGGTATGCAGTCATCTGAATGAACATTATACTTTCATAACCATCCGTCACCTTACCATCATCAAGCTTTGGGAAAACGTGCACACAAAAAAGTAAAAAAAAAAACCCAAACACAAACATCTTTGGGGGAGGGGGCGCGAATGGTTAGCGCGTGCGCGTTGTATCATAAGTTCTGTCATTGAGTAAACTGGCCTGGTTTCGATTCCCCGGTTGTACGTGACAAGGAGTAGAGTCGCCTGGCCAACCTCGTGGGTTTCTCCCCACTGCTAAAGACCCCTACACGCAAGCGAATTATTGAAACAGAATTGAACCATGTTAGTCCCGAAATGACCGAGTTTGTGTAGAGTGGATGTTAAACCCCATTTCTCTCTCTCTCTCTCTCTTCTCTCTCAATTTGTTAAAATGGTTAAAAAGTGCTTTGGGAAAACGTGCATATAAGTTTCCATAATAAAATAAAAACAACAGTTGTGAATAAAGGTACCTTACCCATCAAGAGCACTAAAACCAGCAAAAAACGCATCCTGTTTATTTTGATACACAAGAGTTCAATGCCAATATTTCTTCTGGCCTCAATTTTAACAGAACAGGATTAATATACATGTAAATCTTTCGCAATCGAGCATGTTGGTTTGATTAAATTAACCAATCGGATTCTTCTATGTTATGATTGACAACGGATTTGAATAAGCGTTGATACCAAGGTTATTTATTGCAATTGTAATTTGCAGTTCATCGCTATGCAGTATAAAACTATAAAGCCCAAAATAACTTATGGCCCAAATGAACAGCCCAGGTTATGAACGATCCCATTGAATAATGCCCATATCGTTACACACATGCGTTGAGGAATTACTTAGAGGATTTTCTAAAATTCAGTGACCTTTATGTCATTGTGAATCGTCCCATTTGGTTTTGATGGTTTCTATAAAATTCACAAGCTTGGACTGTGAGTGGTTGAAAATAAACTCAAAATATATTGTTTCACTCTTCAACTTTGGTTGAAATTGGTGAAATGCGGTAGAAAGTTTCATTACGTCACAACCGTAGCAGAAGATTGGGACGTTATACCCCATTTCATTTCATTTCGTTAAGGATTGATGACCGATGTGATTGGTCAATATTTTGGAGCACAACTTTTAATTGAGGTAGATCTTCATTCGATTAATGTCTTGACCGAGTTCTATGATTTATGTTTTCCGCTAAGGTCGATTCAAATTGAGGGAGAGTGATGAAACTTGGTGTATAGTTTACACTGCATCAAAACTCTGACTAAATTCGATCTAAAATCGTTTTTTTTTATCTATTTATTTTGAAATGTTGCCTGATTCAATCCATACGTAAAAACGAACCTATTTGAGACAGAGGGGTGCTGGGCGGTTAGGGTTCCATTAATAGTAATACAACAGAAACAAGAGTTAACGCGCGAATCCGATGAGATTTCCAACCAAGGGTATATGCGTGTCTATGTGCTCTCCCTTCTGAAAAAGAACCTGGTAAATTTAATAGTCAACAATGATTGAATTGGGTATTGCGAAACAATCAAATAGCCGTTGTGTTACTAAACATGGAAATTCCCCGTTAACAATAAAGGACGGACTTAAAGGAGCTAAATCGCTAATATTTGGGACCGAGAAATTGACACAAATGGGTCGCAACGCATATATGAATGTATATAAACTTATAAATACTGAACCGTTTATGTTTGTACTGTAATTTGTAATCAGTTGGGGAGTTGGATGGCCGAATGGTTAGCACGTGCGAGCTGTATTATAAGACCTGTCATTGAGTCAACTGGCGTGGTTTCGAATCCCCGGTTGTACGTGACAAGGAGTAGGGTCGCCTGTCCAGCCTCGTGGGTTTTCTCCGGGTCCTCCCACTGCTAAAGACCCCTACGCGCAAGCGAATTATTGAAATAAAATTAAACCACATGTTAGTCCCGAAATGACCTAGTTTGTGTCGAGTGGACGTTAAACCCCATTTCTCTCTTTCTCTTTCTAATCAGTTATATTCGGCGAAATACTCGGAGAATGGCAGTCTTTGGCGCATGTAGTAATCTCCTACATGGGATATGATTAGCCTCGTTCATCGAGTCGCTTCATACAACTGGCGCTCGAAAGCATTAGTGCACACGATTCGTGTGCCAATTTAAAAATCTTCACTTTTTTCCTTAAATATTGGATTTCAGGAGCCCAACTTATCACGGTAAGATAACAACATTAATGTTAATTTAAATTGAGCAATAAGTCGTGTTTGCAATGTCAAAGGCTGTGTATGATACTGAGTTAAAGACTTGGCTACTTTAACCTTTGGTTTCTCATTTCCCAGGTCCTATAATCGCGGTTGTGATGGTATCGCATGAATGAACACAATGTAATTTGTTTTCGTGTCGGTTCACTAAATTGCTATGTTTATTACTATGTATAGAAAATTGAACAGGACGTACTTTTAATGCTTTTGGAAATCAGTATGTCCTTTAAGTCATGGCTGATTGTGAATTTAACAAAATTTAAATACATTCTCATAAATTTACATTATGATGACATTTATATATACATCCATGTAGTTGGGAACGCATGTATGTAGTAGACGCGAGAAAAAACGCTGCTAAACACTGCTGAAAAGTCGTTCGTAGAGTAACTTTTATTCCGCGCGCCATTTCTCTCCCACGGAAACGTTTACATAAAAACGGTACTATTACATATTATGCATTAGATCAACTTTTCGTTTTGACCGGGGAAAAAACCTACAAGGAAAGCTGGTCTAAAATTATACAGAAATCCTTCCCTGTTGAGTCATCGTTATATAGTCACGATTGACTGCTTGAGTAAATATTGTGCAACGCCGATAGGAAAATTGCTATGTTTATTACCATGTATAGAAAATTGAACAGGACGTACTTTTAATGCTTTTGGAAATCAGTATGTCTTTTAAGTCATAGCTGATTGTGAATTTAACAAAATTTAAATACATTCTCACCCTGATATGGAAAAGGTCGTAAGTGACATTTTTCACTTTTCGAGAAAATCGAGTTTAAAGGTTTGAAAATGGTCCTGTAAAATTGTTTATTTATTGTTTTTTCTAATATTTTGTACAGTATATTATGATTGGGAATAGCTAGAAATGCAATATAAAGTTTTCAGTTATCAGGTGTGGTAACTCGGAAAAGTCACTTACGACCTTTTTCTACTCTCTACCTATAACCAAAGATACATACTTATTGCTGTTTACGACCTTATGTGATTTTGCCATGGGGTGGAAGTTATATTGGTCTTACGGGTACGCTTTGGATCTTAAGGTCTGTAATTGAGTTAAGTGGCATGGTTAACAGTATGGTAGCCTGCTCAACCTCGTTGGGTTTTCTCCGACTTTCTATCATTGATACAGACCCCTACGCGCAAGCAAATTATTGAAGTAAAATTATGGCCTAGTTTGTGTTCAGTGGATGTTATACCCCTCTCTAACCCCAGGCCCCTCTTCCCTCTATCCCTCACGCTATCTTGATACCTTTCTCTGGCTCTCGCGCGCACCCTCCCTGTCAAGCCTCACGGTATCGTACAACCTTCTCTCTATCTCACTCTCTTCACCTCTCTATCTCGCCCACTTGTTATCTCACTCTAGTCCCCACTCTTCCTTGCTGTGCCCCCCCCCCCCCCTGCTCTCCCTTCTCTATCGCTACTCCCTACCCTTGCTAGCTCCCTCCCTACCACCCTCAGCCTTTAGCTTATTCTCTCTCTCGATCTCTTCTATCCTTCTCACAGTAGATTGATAGTATCATCACATCGCAGGCTTATCACTATCTCTCTCTAACCCCCCACCCCCTCCGCCCCTCACCCACTAGATTGCTCTCCTCATATCGATAGTTCTCTTTAGACCCCGCCCCATCTCTCCATCTCTAGCTCTCGCCTTCTATCTCGCTATCTTCCTAGGTCTCTATCTCACGCGCTCTATCTTTCTCTCTAGCTCACGCCCTCTCTCCCGATCTTTCTTGCTCTTTCTCTAGTTCTTTATCTTGTGGATTCTCTCTCTTTCTATCTCTCTCTAATAGTCTAAGCTTACTCTCTAGCTCTCGCCCTTCTCTCTAGCTTGTTCTCCCTCGAGGTCAAGCTCTCCCTCACCCCTTTCTTTTGCGAGCTAACTCCCCCCCCCCCCTTAGGTTGTTCTCTGTAGCCCCACCCCCGCCCTTCTCTCTCTCTCTCTTCTCGAGGGACAAGTCTCATCCCTTGGCAGCCAACTCTCTAGCGCTTTTTGACCTCCCCACTCGCCCTCTAGCTATCTCTCTCCCTCTAGCTCCCCCCCCCCCTTACCGATAACTCTCTTAAGTCCCTCCCTCACTAGCCCATTCTGTAGCTGTCACTTTCCGTGTAGCTATCTCTCTAGGTCTCTCTCTATCTTACGCTCTCTAGCTCTCACCATCTCTCTCTTTCTCTAGCTCTTTCCATCTTGTTTCTTATCTTTCTCAGGGTGTGTGTGTGGGGTGGGGGGTGGATGGCCGAACGGTTAGCATGTGCGTGCTGTATCATAAGGTCTGTCACTGAAACAACTGGCGTAATTTCGATTCCCCGGTTGTACGTGACAAGGAGTATGATTGTCTGTCCAACCTCGTGGGTTTTCCCCGGGTCCTCCGGTTTCCCCACTGATAAAAGACCCCTACGCGCAAGCGAATTATTGAAGTAAAATTGAACCAAGTGGACGTTAATCCCCATCTCTCTCTCTCTCTACTCTTAAGCTCGCTCTCTAGCTCTTGTCCTCTCACTATAGCCCTCGTCCTCTCTAGTTCGCTCTCTCTAGCCTTCGCTCCCGCTAGCTCTCTGTCGCTAGCCCGCCTCTCTAGCTACCCCCCCCCCATCTCCCTCTCTATAGCCCTGTCTCTCTAAGTTACAATGTGGATCTCTCTTTCTCGCTCTCAGCCCCCACCCCCCTCTCTCTCTCTACTCCACTCCTAAGCTCGCTCTCTAGCCCTCGTCATCTCTAGTTCGCTCTCTCTAGCCCTCACTCCCGCTAGTTCTCTGTCCCTAGCCCACCTCTTTAACTACCCCCCCCCCTCTCTAGCTCTCTATAGCCCTATCTTTAAGTTACAATGTGGATCTCTCTTACTCTCTTTCTCGCTCTCAGACCCCCCCACCCATCGCTCCTTCTCTCTCTCTCTCTCTCTCTCTCTCTCTCTCTCAAGGGGCGTCTCATTGCATCACAACCCTCTCTCTATCCCTCTCTAGTTCCCATTCGCTCTAGTGTGTACGCATACCGTACTACAGTCCATTGAAACGGCGAACGTGGGGTATTAAAAGCGTCTCTTACATGCAGTATCGCAAAAAGGCCCCCCTACAGCCCCGTTCTTTGTGTAGTCTACTGTGAAAAAAAACCCCACAACACAATTTATATCGAAAAAACAATCACTGTTTTGTACACATATAGCACGACGTTTCGACAAGTATACCCTTATTGTTATCAAGCACAAAACGACAACGATAAGAGGATACTTGTCGAAACGTCGTGCTATGTGTGTACAGACCAGTGATTATTTTTTCCATATAAATTGTATTGTGTTTTTTTATGTGCCCAATCCCTAAATGTCACTCAAGGATTAAAGTCTACTGCGGGTTGATCAATTTTAAACACTACTAT